AACATCAGTCTAAGTATGCCTCATCCCCTGTACTCAGTAATAAAATCTGTATTTTCTGTGGTGTTCCTCTGTGCTACATTATAAACTACAAAATTACAATAAAACATGGTCCTGTTTGCAAAAATCTTACTAGTCTACTTGGGATGATTATTCTATATAAACTAGCACATATTTCTGAAAGTATGCTGTTTAAACAAATTGATATATATATATGCATGGTAGCTGCAGTTTAGAAGAAAAGTAGAAATGCTTCTGCTTTGGCAACCGGATTTTTATCCTGTCAATAAATATTTACTGGGCGCTTGCCTTCATGTCTCTGAGGCCTTCAGAGTTGTAACCCCTTGAAAGTTACACATTATCAGACTGCATCTTAGTCTAACATCTTCTAGAATCTTGTTAAACATAAACTGAGTTGGAGAATTATTCTGATAGTAACATTTATAATAAACAGCCTTTATCTAGATTTTAGATTTGTTTGTAAACTTACTATTTTTAGAAGCAACCCATACATCTTTCAACACCTTATGAAACTTCAACAATTCATTCAAAGCACATTAAAAAATTCCTGCTCTGGGCCTTTCTCTTCTAGAACTTTGTCTTATCCCTCTCAGCTTCTGTTTTAAACCTTCTATTCAGAAGTCTCTTCTCCACAGTGTACACACACAATCTTTCCCATCTTTAAAACAGGTTTCCATCCAGGCTTTCCTGCTGGCTCAGATGGTAAAGAATCTCGCCTGCAATCCTGGAGACCTAGGCTCAACCCCTGGGTCCAGAAGAGCCCCTGGAGTAGGGAGTGGTAACCCACTCCAGTATTCGTGCCTGGAGAATTCTATCAATAGAGGAGCCTGCCAGGCTACAGGAGGTCGCAAAGAGTCAGACAGGATTGAGTGACTAACGCTTTCATTCTCTCCCATCTTCACAGTCAAATAGTGGTCTACTCTCACTGTATTCTCTTTCTTACATACATCCATTTGGCCTGCTACCATCTGGTTTCTGATTTTACCAAAACTGCTCTTACTAAAGCCTACTGATTACCAAAATCAAGAGATGGCATTTTACAAATTATTTTACTTAACCTATTGCACCTAATCTGCTTCCCTGGTGGCTCAGATGGTAAAGCGTCTGCTTACAATGTGGGAGACCCAGGTTCAATCCCTAGGTCGGGAAGATCTCCTGGAGAAGAAAATGGCAACCCACTCCAGTATTCTTGCCTGGAAAACTCCATGGACGGAGGAGCCTGGTGGGCTACAGTCCATGGGTTCGCAAAGAGTCGAACATGAATGAGTGACTTCACTTTCACTTCCTTTCACATTGCACCGAATATTGCTGAGTACTCTTTTCTTGAAATCTCTCTCTTTTCTTGAAATATCTCACAGTGAGGTTATTTCTCTCCATTCTCCTAACTATTCCCTTTTCCTTTGCAATCAAATATTTGCTGAATCTCCAGCCTGTATTTCTTTTAAATTCTAGACCTATATATATCTACAGGGTATCACCACTTACATGCTCTAAAGAGACCACAAGCTTAATATATCCAAAGCCTTACTGACCTCTACCTAAAATCTGCGGCTTTTCCTTAGCGATCTGTCTTAGGAAGATGTGCCACTTCTACTCCGAGTCAGAAGCACGGCAATCATCTCAGAGCTCTGCCTTTTCTTCATCCTACACGTGTATTCCCGGGAAGCCCTGGGAACTCAGCAGTAAAGAATTCGCCTGCCCGCTGTTCACAACAGCTGGGACATGGAAGCAACCAAGATGTCCACTGGCAGACTTATGGATAAGGAAGTTGTGGTACATACACACAATGGAATATTACTCAGCTATAAAAAAGAATGTATTTGAGTCAGTTCTAATGAGGTGGATGAAACTGGAACCTATTATACAGACTGAAGTAAGACAGAAAAAGAAACACCAATACAGTATATTAACTCACATATATGGAATTTAGAAAGATGGTAAAAATGACCCTATATGCAAGAAAGAGCAAAAGAGACACAGCTGTAACAAGAACACTTTTGGACTATGTGGGAGAAGGCAAGGGTAGCATGATTTGAGAGAACAGCACTGAAACACGTGTATTACCATATCTAAAATAGATGACCAGTGCAAGTTCGATGCATGAATCAGGGCACTCAAAGCCTGTGCTCTGGGACAACCCAGAGGGATGGGTGGGGAGGGAGGTAAGAGGCAGGTTCAGGATTGGGGGACACGTGCACCCGTGGCTGATTCATGTCAAAGTATGGCAAAAACCACCAAAATATTGTAAAGTAACTGGCCTCTAATTAAATAAATTAATTAAAAATAAATAAATAAAATTGAGGAAGAGTTAACAAAAAAAAGAATTCGCCTACAATCTAGGAGATGTGGGTTCAGTCCCTGGGTGGGAAAGATCACCTGGAAAAGAAAATGGCAACCCACTCCAATATTCTTGCCTGAAAAATCCCACGGACAGAGGAGTCTGGTGGGCTACAGTTCACGGGGTCAGAGATGGACAAGACTTAGCGACTAAACACATGCAAACACACAAATATATTCTAATTTCTAAACCTCTTGCTTTCTAATTCCACTGCGATTAGTTTTAGGCCTTCATTATACTTCAAACAATAGATTTCCCTTTCTTCAATTATGGCCTTTCCTTTTCAGTTCATCCCCTACACTGCTGACAAAGTAAAAATTTCTAAAAGGCAAATCTAATTATATTATCCACTTGCTTATTTACTCTTGAATGAGTGAATCCACTACACACAATAGGAATTCTGGTCTTAAGTGGAAGCTGTAGAATAAACAACACACAATTCTGTACCTGCATGTATGCATTTTCTTAAGGGCCTAGATTAACCAAGGTTAAGCCAAAGGGTTTAAGAACCACTGGCTCATACAATAAACTCCAAACTATTCTGCAAGCCCTTTGAAACCTTTCAGAATCACCTCAAACTGCCATCTCCCTTCCAGTAAAGACTGCAGTCAACCTCAACTACTTAAGTTCTCAAATAGGGCTCTGCTGCTTCAACTTTTCACACCACTAAACATAAGCTCCTCTTTACCTAGAAAGCCATTCCCCACCCATTCCCCAAGTGAACAAGTTCTTTAATCTATGAAATCCTCTTTACACCTCCAAGCAATTTGATTTCTCCTTCCTTTCACCTACTACACTTAACCTATACCTTTATTATAGTATTGGTCATACAGCATATTTATATTTGTTTTCATGTCTTTCATTAGGTCATGAGGGAAAAAAACCACATTTTATTCACCGTTTGTCTGTTAGTGCTTAGCACAACACCGATATATAATATATACTCAAATATTTGTTGAATAAATAATTCTCTACCTCATCAACAATGAATATTCTTTTCATGAAAGAGTCTCTGTGTAATAATGAGTTGTTCAAACTGAAAGTAGTATTTTCCTAAGCTTAAAAAGGGTGTCTTTCAAAAATGTCAGACCAATGATCACTAATAAACTTACCACTAATATTTTAAAATATTAAGAAAAAAAGTTGTTTTAAAAAAGACTGATGAAAAATGTAAGCACAAATATAAACTAACTTCATTTAACTGAAATTTTAAATTAACTATAATTTTAATTACAATCCTCAAGAAGACTAAACTACTAGGTGTAAGATTTTTTTCCTTAAACTTGGTATTTGATTAGCCCAGTTCAATGTGTTTTTCCTCTTGTAATGTAAAATTTTTATACAAATAGAATTCTCTTTATATTTAAATCTGGACAGATGTTTATAGAACCCTAAATACGTACATTTAGGTGTCTTTAACGTAAACGTTTGTGTGAATTTAGCACAGTTTTCAGAAAACACCAAGTAAAACTTTGGGGGAAACAGGAAACTTTGGGTGTAGGAAGGAAATCAGATTGAGCACTCATTAGAGAATCTGAGTTTCTGTGTTACCTCCGCAGGTTATTTAAAACAGGAAATCTAAGTTCTTACTCGTCACCACTTTATCACTAAACATAGGGGGTTGAAGAGTTTCGGATGTAAATACTGCTGGCTACAAAAGCAACTTGCCTGCACGCTGAACAGATGCCAGCTGCCTATTAATACGGGCCCGAAAGCCAGCACTGGAGTGTGTACTAGGCCACTAACTCTGAAGGCAGTGCCTGGTGTATTTATTCACTAAGCCCTCCAAAGAGATCATTACCAAGGTCGAAGTAATAAATCTGCTTTGATGGTAATGATTAAGAGTGTCCCCAGGGAAGGACTGAAAGCTGACTGCAGGATGCTGCTGCGAAATACCTAAAACAAACTGGATTCCTAACTTGTGCTCCCAACTTGCGATTCCTAACGTGTGTTTAGTTTCAGTGGATCAGACTAAAATCGCATTTTGCCCCCCCACTTCCGCCCGCTTCCCTGTCCCAGTTTATTTTTATCCTTTTTAACTTGGAGTCAATCTTAAAAGCATATTAAGACCCAAGAGCTCGTCAAATCACTTGGAGAAGGCACACCAACTTCTGAAGGAGCGCGGCCTCGAGTCCGCAGGGGACAGACATGCACTGGCTGGCCCCTTCTACTAGAGGCGCAGAGGCAGCGCCTGCCGGCCTGAGCGCGACTCCAGCCCGCTGGGTTTCGGTTAGACCGCAACAGGAAGTTTTCTCTTCCCTTGCGGAAAGCTGTGAAGCCAAAGAGAAATTTGAACCCCCACTCTCCCGGGGACGCCCAGAGGAGAGCTTCGGTGTGTGTAGGGGTGGGGGTGGGGGGGCTCCGCCTGGGACGGAGGCAGCCGAGGGACTCGTGATTCAACGCCGACCGCATCGTCCCCTCCCCGCGCAGGTCTAGGCCTCGGCCTCACTTCCCCTCCCCGGGCGTCCAGTCCCGTCCGGGCCCGTCTCCGGGGGCAAAGGCGGCTTCGCGGCCCGTGCGGGGCGGGCTGCGCCCCAGTTCCCAGAGCTCCCAGTCTCCTGGCAGAGGGCGCCGGAAGGGGAGCAGGAACCGGAGCGGGCGCGGCAACGCGATTCCCAGCCTCGCCGGCGCAGGCTGCACTCACCCACTCGAGGACTTTGATGAAGCCGAGAGGCTCCTTGAGCGGGTTGAGATTGAGCTGGAAGGAGGACATCCTCTGAGGGAAGGAGGGAAAGAGTGTTAGACGGCGGGGCGGAGGAGGAGGGGGACCGACCGGACAGACAGATCTCCACGGCCGCGAGGAAGGGCAGGAGGGGCGGCTCCGGGAGGCGGGCCTGGGAGGCCGCGGGGCGGGGCGGCGGCGGTTGAGCCGCTTGCCGAGGCGCTGGGGCGGAGACGGAGAGGGGCGGGCACGGGAGGCGAGGGCGGACCCGGACAGGGAAGGGGCGGTGCCTCCCCGAGTCGTACCTGACCCACCCGGCTGATCCGCTGGCGAACCAAGTAGATGTTGGACGCCATGCTGCGTGCGCCGCGCCCCCTTCCCTCAAGTCCAGCCTCCGCGCTCGGATTCCTGCCGCGCATGCGCGCGCTCAGTCCCACGCCAGCGTAGCTGGGGCCGCTGCCACGCGCAGCGAAAGCGACCCAGCGAAAACCCAAGGCTTTGGCCCAACAGCTTTATTACACTGGCTTCCCGTCACGCTTGCCGATGTTTTAGCTAGGTTTATAACATTGACTTTGAAGGCGCGATTTAAGGCGGTGTTAGAGACCTTTTATTAAAATGATGGAAAGTTACTGCAGAACAACGGACTTTGAGCGACCACGCTGTACAGGGTCTCTCTCAGAAGCGTGATCAAACATTCTTATGGAAATTGTTTATTTTCAGACTTACCATTGGAGTCATGGTTGAACGATGTACAAAAAAGGTTATACCTAATAGAAAAAGGCTCGGTCCGACAGGCCTCTTCTATCCCATTTACCCACCTCACCTATCCTGTCAGTCAAGTTTTCTACGTGGGGCGCTCTTGGAGTCTCTACAGAAGGCTACTTGCTGCTCCCCATTCGAGAGTCGCCTAGGTGACACCTTCCTTCTGGCACCCAGTTATCGGAGCCGCGAAGAAATTATCTTTTTGGCTTCCCTAGTATCTTGGAAGTTCTTGGAGATGGAATGCTGGTCTTTTGGCGTGTATGGTAAGGGGACTAACATCATGTACCCCAAATACGGAAGAAAGGAATCTAGCACAATGGAATCTCAATATACCAGCTTCCGAGTATTGACCTATGTATACTGATGTTCCAAGCACTTGTCTATGAGTCAGCAGGTTCCTCGCCATTGAAGTTATTCAAGTGTTACTGACCTTCTTTCTAAGAAGCTAACCCTTTTTCATTTGAGACCTGTTTACCTCCTTGTTTATTTCCCAGAGAATGCAGAGAACATATTTCAATTTCCCGGTCCACAGAGACAATCTTATTCTTTTGATCCTGACTTCCATTCTTCAATCCCTGCACAGTGCCTTATATTCAGTGGATACCTAGTGAATGATTGCAGATTCCTCTTACCAAACAAGAAGGCTTCAGAGATGCTCCTTAGGGAAGAATCAGTGGAAGGTGACCATGCATTAGTACCCAGTACTCCTGAGACTACTGTAAGTAATACCTCAGGTCCTCCTGCTCCCCACCCCCTTTTAAAAAATTTTCTATCCAATTAATAAAAATAAAGGGGGAAAATATTTAAAAAATAAAATAAAAAATTTTCTACTGGCACCCAGTTATGGGATTCCCATGGTAGTGATCTCCATACTGGCTTCCTTGCTACTCTTCTCATTTTATTCTCTTTAGTTTGTTTTTCTAAACTTCTACTCCCACTCTGTTGAGGTTTTGGGGTTTGCCCTGGAGTTGGGTTGTGGCTAGTAGTGCTATTTGGCTTGGGCTTCATATTCATAAAGATTCAAATTAGACTCTCATGTTATTTCCAAATCAGATATACACTGACAAGTCAGAACGATGCTCACTTTGCAGCTTTATTTGTTCATGTAAATAAAAAATATACTGTAATGTAGTAAGCCAGTTTGGGCATTTCAGTATCCACCAGCCCCCCCAACCCTGCCCGGCCTTTTTTGAAGGTTTCAGAAATTGGAATTGACATGGAGCTTTCTCAGTCTCTGAGAAGTTTAACTTTCTATTTCCTCTCTTCTGACTCTTGTTTTTTATTTTTTGCTTTCTCTTCTGCTTCTGGTTCATACCCACTAATGGAAGGCATGGTTGTTTCTCTTCAGGAAGCCATTGGTACTAAGAGAATGTGCCTTGAGTATTAAGTTCTCTCTTGCTTGGCCACGTGCCACTAACTTTTAAAAGATAGAGATCACAGAAGAATAGTAACTGGTCATTTATCAGAACTCATTTACATACTCTGTGCAAAACCAAGGGGAAGTGAGCTACTGCTGTTGCCCTCGGTAATATATAGTCCAGCACTGCTTCTGCCAGTCAGCTGAATTCAGAGGAGCTCCTACTCCCCTAAGAAGGAGCTGGGAGTGGCTGGCAGAGCAAGTACAATCTAATTAGGCAACCAGATAGTTGTGAATTTTTTGAATGCTCAAAAAACAAGAGTGTTTAAACAGCATTTCACTGAAGGCACAACTGTTCAAAATCTGAGAAGAATGTTCAGATAACTGTTTAACATTGACTATAACATTGGTCATATTCTGATTTGTTCTTGGAATCTGAGGAAAGACACAGAAATTCTGGGCACAACATGCTCTACTCTCTACCAGGTTCATTATGGAAAATAATACTTGTAAAGCAAAACTTCCCTGTCTGAGGTAGTACTGTGGAGACTTACCTATGGTAGTATAATTATGGCTAAGTTACCTACATAACTTGTTATCTTTTCACTCTCTTTGCTGTTTATAAAGCATGTGCCAGGTTATGACATTGGGATTTAAGGATGTACAAGAGGTCAGGCGGAAGCTGTATTTAGGGAAATCTTATCATTGGCTAACTGTAACATTGCTTTGCTTTTCTCAAGGGCAGTACAGAGTCCTGATCATTTTATTGGTAAGATGAGACTATAACTCATTCTCAACCAATATTTGTCCTTTTTTTTTTTTTTCTAAGTTTTTATCTGGTAGTGTTTAATACCCATGAGTTTAGAGTCTGAGTTTTGGGTTTAGACACAGCTCTTTTCTTTTCACTGATGAATTCTACAGTCATTTTAGAAAAATACAGAAATCACTCTAAATTTGTCTAAATTATACAATAGACTGACTCAATGGACCTAGTAAATTAATCTAAAAATAATTAAACTGAAGTCTTTTTAAATTTTAACTATAATTTTAGATTTACAAAAAGGTTGCAAAATACAAAATACAATAACCCTAACCCTAAAATACTGAAAATCACGTGGGGCAAAAGTGAAAATCGCTCAGTCGTGGCTGACTCTTTGTGACCCTTTGAAATTCTTCAGGCCAGAATACTGGAGTTGTTCGCTTCTCCAGGGAATCTTCCCAACCCAGGGATCAAACCCAGGTCTTCCTCATGGCAGGCCGATTCTTTACCAGCTGAGCCACAGGGAAGCCCAAGAATACTGGAGTGGGTAGCCTATCCCTTCTCCAGCGGATCTTCCCAACCCAGGAATTGAACCAGGGTCTCCTGCATTGCAGGTGGTTTCCTTACCAGCTGAGCTATCAGGGAAGCCTTAAAGATCATGCTAATCCCCTCTGTATGGGTCCAATTTTAATCTATTTGTGGCTGACGTAAGCACAGTTCTTATTCCCATTTTTAGTTTAGCTCACGTTTAAGAAATAAACAGGAAACATTTTACTTTGTGGAGGCTAATTTCATAATAATCATCACAAGTACTATAATTAGGTTCCTGAAGAAAAAAGGCTTATTGTATTATAACTTTTATAATAACACAACGTGGAGTTTATGTAGTGTTCTGCATTTTTCAGAGACTGTTTGTTGTCATTTCTTCCATGTGACCCTGGAGTTAAAGGAAGGTACAGCAATTAGGATACTCATTTTACTGAGAGGGAAGCTCAGAGGAAAGAAAGCTTATCAGGAAAGGCCTTGTGGAGAAAGTGATATAGCACTGAAGCCTGAGAGGTATGAAGCAAGTTCCAAAGGTGGATGAGAGGATTCTCTTCAGAAGTGCAGCAGAAGGTAGGGCGTGGTGGCAGAGGAGAAAGGAGTTCTCTTGGAGCACCAAATACCTCAGATTTATGTCTGATGCTTTGAGTAGGAGGAGCAGTGTGGAGGAAGGGATTTATATGCCTGGCTAGGAGTTTGGACTTTATTCTCTGGCAGTGAGTTGTTTTGAGGCACATGGTAAGATTCCCATTTAGGAAAATCACTATAGTAGTATAGAAGATGAAAGATCCTTAGCAGGTAGGTTCAAGACAGCTGATCTTTTCTAAACCTGTCAGTCATGAGATCTCAGATTCCAGATGTGGTGACAATAAGCAGGAGTAGATAGCAGGTTGGCAACAGCAGCACAATACTGCCAACAACAAAAGCATTATATCTAGATGCACATCACTTCATGGCAAATAGATGGGAAAACAGTGGAAACAGTGACTGACTTTATTTTTCTGGGCTCCAAAATCACTGCAGATGGTGATTGCAGCCATGAAATTAAAAGATGCTTACTCCTTAGAAGGAAAGTTATGACCAGCCTAGACAGCATATTAAAAGGCAGAGACATTACTTTGCCAACAAAGGTCTGTCTAGTCAAGGCTATGGTTTTTCCAGTGGTCGTGTATGGATGTGAGAGTTGGACTATAAAGAAAGCTGAGCACCGAAGAACTGATGCTTTTGAACTGTGGTGTTCAAGAAGACTCTTGAGACTCCCTTGGACTGCAAGGAGATCCAACCAGTCCATCCTAAAGGAGATCAGTCCTGGGTGTTCATTGGAGGGACTGATGTTGAAACTGAAATTCCAAAACTTTGGGCACCTGATGCGAAGAGCTAACTCATTGGAAAAGACCCTGATGCTGGGAAAGATTGAGGGCAGGAGGAGAAGCGGACAACAGAGGATGAGATGGTTGGATGGCAGCATCACCGACTCAATGAACATGGGTTTGGGTGGACTCTGGGAGTTGGTGATGGACAGGGAGGCCTGGGGTGCTGCGGTTCATGGGGTCGCAAAGAGTCAGACACGACTGAGGGACTGAACTGACTGACTGACTAGATGCACAAACCACTGGTTCCTGCCCTAGCTTTGTCAGATCTACAAATTTTCCTGGAGCATTACCATTTGATTTCCTTGACTTACCTTTTGATTTCCTTTGACCTTAATGGGAGTATTTGTAAGGTACGAACTTTATGTATGTTGATTAACATTGAAGTAGTTCTGACAAATCAGGGCTTGGGAATGAAGACAAACATGAAGATGTCATAAGCTGGTTCCAGAATCATATCCAGAGATGGAGGGGAAGAGGTAGACTAGGCTATGGAACATGGTGGATATGGAGATTTTAGAGTCCAATTCTGATCCATTTTTTATCATAATTAGTTATTTTTAA